TGCTTGGTAAGAAATGTACGCATTATCCTGCCCATGCAATTGTAACCCCTCTGTACAGTATGTTCACAAATAAAATTAAATTAAATTAAAATAAAGAAAGAAAGAAAGAAAGAAAAAAATTACACTAAAATCTCTTCAAAAATCATCTTAACCTTTTAAGGCATATTAAAAACAATAAACCCTTTAATTAAATAATTGGTATTTATTTTATGTATTGGTTTTGGAAAATACTACTGAAATTATCACATCTTACTGTTTGTAGTTAAGATGGAAAAAGCCGAGAAACAGGAAGGTCCTCTCATACATGTAAGGACCTAGAATACAATTTAATTTACCTAGAGTTCTACTACTTAGAATACACATTACCTTTAATGTAAGCATCATATGTGTACTATGTGGAACTTTTTTTTTTTTGGTTGGTGTGGAACTTGAATTCAGAGCCTGGCGCTTTCCCTGAGCTCTTTTGTTCAAGGCTAACAGCTCTACCACTTTGAGCCACAGCTCCACTTCTGGTTTTTCTGGTGGTTAATGGAAGCCTCACCAACTTTTCCTGCCTGGGCTGGCTTTGAACTGTGATCCTCAGATCTCAGCCACCAGAGTAGCTAGGATTATAGGCATGAGCCACTGGCACCCAACAAAAATTTAATTTTTTATTCTAGCTTCAGTTATTACTAGATCCTTAATCTATAAACTACATGTGGATTAGAAACTATAAATTAACAATACATATCTACTAAGAAGCCATATGTTTACACTTCTGAGTAAACAAAGTGCGCTGAAAGTCTCATATTTATGCAATGTGTACATATGCTATGTATATCAATGAAATACTCTCCAGAAGTCATTCTCTCCATCATTCTCATATGCCCAAAATACACAGAAACTATGTGACTTTTAAGATTAAAGACACTAGCTCCTGAAGAACATGGAGCAGAAGAGCCAAGATGGGCCACATACATACAGGTATAGGTCATTCTTCTTGTACCTGAGATGTCACTTGTTAGGCCAAAGAGAACAGCACTTGTATGGTCATACAGACTGTAGTAAGAATTGCTCCCTCAGAAGAAATCACCTGACCATACCCTGCTGACAAGAAATGACTCCTGTTCTAAACCCTGCTAAGTCAGTCTGATGCAGCATGCCAATAGTCGGTATAGTGGATTTGAGAACACCAGATAGTGAACATTGTAACAACCAATTTCAAATTGTTCAATTACTCTACAGATAAAAATTGACCAAGTGTAAGTGCACATCAATTCTACTTAAGACAATCCACTCTCACAAAACATAGGGATGTAACTTCTTTCAAAAATACAGTGTTTTCCAAACAGTTATTTCTTGTTTTACAACATGGCTTTAGATGACCCATTAGTACAAATATGAATGGCCCTTCAACAGTATTAGTATTGACCCCTTGGTGTCACTGAAGATATCATTGTATGTTCAATAAGATATTAAAATAAACAAAACTGAACAGATGAGGAAATCCATGGAGCTTTGGAGAAAGTTGTGTTTTTAGACACTAGCTGAGATTTTCAATTTGAGATGTTGAATAGTTTTTCAGGATCTTGCCATTATACCAATGACCTTGAAAAATCACTCACTGAGAAATGGTTTCCCCTTTCTCAGCTATTTGTCAAATTTTGTAAGTTTAATGCTAAATATAGATTTGATCTGTCATTTTAAAAAGTCCTATTAAACATCTAAACTACTTCAACACATGATCAGTAGCCAGTTACACATTGTAATAAAGTATGAAACAAGTTGAAACATTATGAACAATATAATACCCATATGTCCTACCAACAAATAATCTCTACCTAAGACACACAAATAAGAAATGAAACTAAATAGTGACACTAATTAAGGTATTCTTACATCCTCCTCTCTCTCTCTCTCAGAGGTCAGTCCTGGGGCTTTAACTCTGGGCTTGGGAGCTATCCCTCAGCTCTTCAGCTCAAGGCTAGCACTCTACACTTGAGCCATAGCACCACTTCCTGTTTTCTGAGTAGTTTATTGGAGATAAGAGTCTAATGGACTTTCCTGTTCCTGCCTGGCCTGGCTTTGGACCACGATCCTCAGATTTCATCCTTTTGAGTAGCTAGGATTATAGGCATGAGCCACTGGCACCGTGCAGTACTTCTCTCTTAACAAGTTATATTTTAAATTACTTCTGCTACTGACATTCACACTATAATTCATGTCATTTTTTTGTAAATTCACTTGACATTATTTCACAAGGCTTCTAGAGAATTCCTTGGCTAAGATCCTTTAATCTGTTAAAATCAACCACTTACTGAAATGAGCCAACTCTTACTGCCACAGGTACATGAGGGAGCTGAGTAGCCCACTTCAGTGTCACATCCTGATAAATCTGCAACATGCTACTATGGTTTCCAATCAAAGTATTGATCGTTCCTTCAGAAACTGTGGGTTGAAGACACAGAAAGTAAGAAAACAGGCAAGTGAAACTGTACATTATATCTCTTTAAGATGACTTATGACATTAACATCTTAATTTTAACACATACAGATTTTTAGGTAATAAAAATTATTTTTCAAAAAGAACTTTACAACTTCAAGCTATCCATAGCAAAAGGAAACAAGTCATTTTACAAATTTGAAAAGTTTAGATAACAACTAACATGTTTACTTTTCAACCAGAAAGTATAAATTTCATTAACATTTAATCTAATGACTTTCTAAGCCGTCTTATAAAGTCATTCTATCAGACATCACTGCTCTGTTCATAAGTGATGCTCACTCGGAAGCATGAACACCCAATTATGGAACAAATTAATACACGCTAAAGGCAAGTTCTACATGTCATTTTCTACAAAGCAAGGTAACTGACAGAACCAAATATATGTGTTCTATCAAACTTCTAGCACTGAAAGTTAAAATTTCCATTACTTGTTCAGTATAAAACTGTTTTCCTGGATGTTTAAAACATGTGCATGAGTTTGGCTTTCTCTAGTATGTCTAACATACCCTTGACATATGGAAAAGATAAAAGAAAACTCTCTGCACACCTGAGCAGTATGGTAAGAAACAACTTGGGCTACAGTCAAGCTTCTTCATGAAGCGAATCTGTCCATTATCCTTGAGGCAAAAGAGGTTCCTCTCACCAAGGACAAAAAGAGAAGATGCTGATGGACTGAAAGAGACAATGCATATATCCAGGGCTTGCTCTCCAATATTTAGAGTCCAATCCACCTGCAAAGCAAAACCCTAGGTTAACTTAGTAGCTAAGAACACAAAAGTTCGGTCCATCTTCATATTAAATGCAAATTAATTTAACTAGCTGCTTTAATCAAAACACAAAAGTAAATTTTCCTTTACTTCCTTTTTGAGTTCTGTTTGTTTTCTATCTTGGGATCTGGTATTTTATAGACCCCAGCAGGTTTTATACCATCTCTTACCAAATAGTATTAGGAATTCAGTGATTCAAAAATACTCATGAAAAAGACTTCTGCTTCTCTGAAAAACTTCTATAAGAAAATTGCTATTTGGGGAGGAAGCATCAAGCTAATTAGACAATAACTTATTTAGTTATAGAAAAATTACAGTTAGACCAGAATGAGAAGGAGTTGTGTGTTACTGAACAGCATGGTGATTATAGCTAACAGTAAGGTACTGTGTGCCCCAAAAGCTGGAAGAAAGGAAGGGCTTTAACTATTTTCATCATAAAAAAGGGTGAAAGTTTGAGAAGTTAATTTGCCTAACCTTATTTAAACATAAACAATGTGCACATATTTCAAAACATCACAAAGTATAGCATTAATATGAGATTTTATGCTTTCATTTATCAGTTAAACTTAATTTTCAAAAAGCTACTGTATTTACCTTGCAAGTTAAATTTAATCATCAGTAAATCATACAGCCAATATTAAATTTTGATATCATTGACATAATAGTACATACAAAACAGAAATGAATAAAACATATTTCTGATTTTCTTCCCAGGAATTTTTTTTTTTTTTGGCCAGTCCCAAGGCTTGAACTCAGGGCCTGAGCTCTGTCCCTGAGCTTCTTTTGCTCAAGAACAGCACTCTACCACTTGAGCCACAGCACCACTTTTCTGGTTTTTTCTCTTTATGTGGTACTGAGGAATTGAACCCAGGGTTTCATGCATGCTAGGCAAGCACTCTATCACTAAGCCACATTCCCAGCCCTTTTCCCAGGAATTCTTATTCTTAACAAACATGATTAGATAGGAAATTACTGAAATCATTTTAACAAAGGCCTTACAATTAGTCTTTTTCCAGAGCCAAGTTTTTGCTGCTCAGTCTCCTGCTTTTTATCTGCATCTGTTGCAAAAGCAAGTACTTGGTACCTGTACAAAACAGATGGAAAAGGGGTAAATAATTCTACAAAGTACAAATGTAGCCAGATGCCAGTGATTCATGCCTTAATCCTAGCTACTCAGGAAGCTGAGATCTGAGGATCGCAGTTTCTCTTCTCTTTGCAGACTCTTCTCTCCCATTAACTACCAAAAAGATGCAAGTGGATCTGAGTACTAGTCCTGAGTGACAATAGCTCTGAGAAAGTGCGCAGGCCCTGAGGTCTAGGTCCAGTGCTGGCACACAAAAAAAGCACAAATTAAACATATGAAGCATGTCATGGGTAAACATTATAAATAAATGGTCTCATGAGAGGGTGGACTAATAATCTTGGACTTCCCAACATCTAGAACTATAAGAAATAAACTGTATTTTAAAAATACCCAGCCTTGGATATTCAGTTCTAGTGTTACAAAATACACTAAGGCAAACAGCAACTCTAAAGCCATTTTATCTCAATCAAGAAAAAAAATACTGATTAAAAAAAGCTCTAATTTCATCAAGATGCTAGAATGAAATAAGATAGATTTTACCAGGCTGGCAGCTAATACCTGCAGCTCATTCCCTCTGTATGTAGCATGCAGAACAATGGAGAATCAAGTATCTGGACTTAAGCCCTTCCACATGTGTGATGTGGATTCAGATACAGCCAGTAGGCACAGCTCAGAGTACCTGTGCTCACAGACAGTAGGCACACATCCTGAGGAAGCTGGTGGCAGAAGCAAGGAGTTGTGTAGGAGATGTGCTTGTGATAGAAGTTCAGGAAGAGAAGGCTAAGTTTCAAAAGATGAGTAAAAATTTATCACACTGACACTGGCAACTCACACCTATAACGGTAGGCTAAGAAAGTGAAGATTGCAGTTCAAGGCACAAAAGTTCAAAAGATCCTTCTCAACCTATAGCTGAGCAAAGAAATAGTATACATCCGTAAGAGGGAAGGATTGTATGACCAGGACTGCCCAGGCCGACTGTTATTGCTAAGGGAAACAGAACATGGTGGCACACACCTGTAACCCAGCAATGAAGGGAAGCCTTAAAGTAGGTGATTATTGCTCACGTGCTTGCTCTGTCATGAAGCAAGACCCTGTCTTAAAAATAACCAGTGAAGCCGGGCACTGGTGGCTCACGCCTTTAATCCTAGCTACTCAGGAGGCTGAGATCTGAGGATCACGGTTCAAAGCCAGCCTGGGCAGGAAAGTCCGTGAGACTCTTATCTCCAATAAAAACCACTAGAAGGGCTGGGAAGGTGGCTCAGTGGTAGAGCGCTTGCCTTGCATGCATGAGGCCCTGAGTTCGATTCCTCAGCACCACATAAGCAAAAAGAAAAAGCCGGAAGTGGCACTATGGCTCAAGTGGTAGAGCACTAGCCTTGAGCTGAAGAGCTGAGGGACAGTGCCCAGGCCCAGAGTTCAGGCCCCACGACCGGAACCGCCCCCCCATAGAAACAAAAAGCACTAGAAAACCGGAAGTAGTGCTGTGGCTCAAGCAGTAGAGTGCTCGCCTTGAGCTGGAGTGCAGGGACAGCACCCAAGCCCAGAGTTCAAGCCCCATGACAGACAAAACAACAACAAAAACAGTGAAAGAGAGAGCTGGATATGTCTTAACAATAGGGTCTCAGCCTAGCAAGCACAAGGAACTGAGTTCAAACAACACCATTGAAAAAAAGAAGATGCTATACTGGTAAAGAAACAAGTAGCCTGTTGGCAAGGGCAACAGCACATGTGAAGGCATGTAGCCATAAAAGAGACATGAAAGGCCACAGGAGGGCTTGAGGTATGTGGGCAAGGAAGAGTGAGTCATGGGAAATGAGACAGAAAAGGTGGCAGGGAGAAGATCCCAGCCTGGTAAAAGCATACTAAAAAAACTCCAAAGGTGGCTACAGCAAAAGTCTCTTCATCATCTGAGTCTGACCTTCAAAATCTCAGCTTCCAAAAGGATCAAATATTAGACACTGCATTCCAACTTCTATCCAGCTCACTGTAACAGAGACAGTAACAGCCCCTCAAAGTGAGTCCTGCCTAGGTCTCACCTCAGGCAATTAGCTAACCATCAGGTGCTACCCTACCAAGGATGCTATGGATATTAATGAGATAGTTGCAAAATCCAAACCTCCCTGAGCTATTTGATGTTTCTTATGTAACTATAAATGTAACTGCAGTTATTATTTCATCTGAGGGTATGAGAGCCCCTAAAAGTGGCCTCGTTAACATCAAAATAGCAGGCAGAGACTCAGCCAAACTGACACCTGGTTTCCAAGGATGAACCATTTGTTTTTCTGGAAGACAACTCACAAGAGTATTTCATTACTTTAACACACCAGACAGTAAACTTAATGACAACAAACTCACAATTGCATGTATTTTAACCTCTTAATTGTGGCCAATAATCTAAACAAAAATATGGTCCCCAAACAAAACAATTTCAAGCAGACTTAGAAAGTTGAAATAAAGAATACACTTGGAATTTTTAATTACCACTCATATGAGTTCAGTGATAGAAACTGAAGAAAAAGCCTTCCTTTGGAGGCTGCTGTGCCAGCCAGTACAGAAAGACTTTGGGATAGGCCTGACACCTTCTCAGAACACAAACAGGGCACATCCAAAAGAGTATGGTGCTTTTGGATCCCTGGAGCACAGCAGTCAGACCCCAGCACAGAATTCAATGCCCTTCCACATAGAGCATAACATAGCAGCAAGGAGCTAAGATGTGCCCTGACTATAGGGCAGCAGCAAACCCTCTGATCAGTTATCTGCAAGTGAAACATAGTTGTCACCTCAGGGGGGTAGCAGGTGATTTTGAAACCCTGCTGTTTAACCTGAAGAACTTTACTGGAAGAGGACACCAGGGACAACTATTTCTGTAACAGCTCACAAGTTCTTCCTATTGCCAGGGACAATCACTTGCACTACAAGATGCCGAAACAAACAAAGCTTTCTTTATATGTTGTCAGTCCTCCAAATACTTCCTGCTGAACACCTGCTTTTAGTTCAAAGGCAAAAGTTCCAGGCTCCTCAGAGGCTACAAAATTCCTTCCATGTGGGCAATTACACTTGACCAGGAAGAAAAACCAAGAAGCAAGTATTATATATCAGAGAAAGCATGAAGCACCAAAAAACTTAAGGGAATTGCTGAACAGCTACTCTATGAATTAAGGAGGATGAGACACTATGCAGATGATCAAGGAAGAACTCAGGGAGCAAAGAGGCTTCCAGATAGAATCTTCATGTTCAAAGAAGGAAGAAAGGAAAAGCAGGTCAGACACAGGGGACAGGCTGAGAAAAAGTTGAGAAAGAGAAAAGTCTTTATCATAGATGGAAAATACATATATTTACTCAAGGCCAGAGCCTAAGGCCTGGTGAAAAACAGAACCTTCTTTTAAAATAGTCAACTAAAATGAACACCATAATTGCTTATTTTTAAAGCCTGTTACCTATTTAGCAAGGTACTAGGAGGCGATGCAGGTTCTGAGAGGTGGAAGCAGAGAGAGGGAAGAAAACAGTCACTGTAATATACTCCTAGGACCTTCCTATACTTGGTTCTCACTTAGAAGTAAGTCCCGCCTCTGCTCAAAGCCTCCTCAGTGCTGCAGACAAAGCTCTGCTGTAGCCTGAATATATATATATATATACACACACACATATGGGGGCTGAAATATATGCATGCATGCATGTATGTATGTATACATGTATATACACACAAACACACATACACACACAGAACATTGAATGCCGATACAGTCACTGCCTCACACCACAAGGCACTAGCTCTGGGACATCACAACTCCTTACAATACCAAAGTCTGCAGATGCTCTAATCCCTTGGAGGTAAACTATACACATCCCCCTGTGTGCTTTTTTATTCTTTGTAGTTCTGGGGATCAAACCCAGAGCCTTATACCTAATAGGCAAGTGCTCTACTAAGAAGCTGCATCCTAAACCCTCCTTAAAAAGTTTTTTTTTTTTTTGTCAGTCATGGGGCTTGAACTCTGGGCCTGAACGCTGCCCCTCAGTTCTTCAGCTCAAGGTGAGCACTCTACCACTTGAGCCACTGTGCCACTTCCAGTTTTCTGGGCGGTTTATTAGAGATAAGAGTCTCATGGACTTTCCTGCCTGGGCTGCCTTTGAACCGCGATCATCAGATGTCAGCCTCCTGAGTAGCTAGGATTACAGGCATGAGCCACTAGTGCCCAGCTTCTCCTTATATACTTTAAATAATCTCTACATTGTTTATAATTGCTAATACAATGTAAATGCACTTAATCTTTATAATGAACTTGTCAAAATGAACAATATTACCCTCTTTTAGAGCCAGGGTAAGGACAGTGATATGGTTTGAATATGAAATGTCCCCACAGTGCTAAATACCTGGTCCTCAGCTAGTGGAATCAACCTGAGAAGTTCCAAAAATTTTAGGAAGTGGGCCTGGTAGAAGGAAATAGGCCTCTCTACAAATACTGCTCCAATCCAATACTGCACATTGCCTTTCAGATATCTTACATACAAGGGTGATAAATTCAAGCATTTTCTATGTGGTAGCAATGTGCTTAATACTTACACTAAGGACAGCGAAAGTCATCCCAGTTATATTTTATCAAAGAAACCAGTCACTTTTTCTTTTGTAATAATATTCAAACTCTTTGTGGGAAATAATTAATCAGTACCAAACACATAAAAAAAAATCATGGCTGCAAAGGTTGAAGATACAGACTTACTTGTAACTTTCCACTTGCCGGCAGGAAGAAACAGTGATGAAGGAATCTGTTCGGGGACTATATACAAGAGGGCCAGGGAGCAGGAAACCAGGGAGAAACCTCCCAAAGGCAAAGCTTTCCTGCTCAAACACCATCAGCATCCCATCCACAGACTGGATGCAAATTAAGTCTCTACCTAAAATGAGAGGAAATGAGAGGAAATTAAATAATCTGTTCTTTTGGTGTTTTTGTTTGTTTTGCTGGTCCTGGGACTTACACTCTGGGCCTGGATGCTGTCCCTGAGCTCCTTTGCTCCAGGATAGCACTCCTTCACTTGAGCTACAGTGCCACTTCAAGCTTTTTCTGTGATTAACTGGAGATAAGAGTCTCATGGACTTTCCTGCCCAGGCCAGCTTCAAACTGCAATCCTCAGGTCTCAGCCTCGGACTAGCTAGGGCTACAGGTGTGAACCACTGGTGCCCAGCAACAATCTTAATTTATCACTATCCACCACAAATATGTCAATATTAATTTTCCCTATTAGACAACCCCATAGTATTTTAAAGTTTAAACTACAAACCAATGAAGCTAATGGGTTATTGATATTAATGCACATACATTTCAATTTTTATAACTTCAAGTACATTTACTTTTATTTGACCGCATTGATAAAATTTGGTCAATATGAGCACTGAGAACAATTATGACTTTTTATAATAAATCTTTTTTTCTAAATTCAAAATTTAAAACAATTCTTCATAGAACCACTTACCTTTGGGGGGGGAGGGTTGTGGGGCTTGAACTCTGGGCCTGGGCACTGTCCCTGAGCTCTTCAGCTCAAGGCTAGAGCTCTACCACTTATGCCAAAGCTCCACTTCCAGTCTTCTGGTGGTTAACTGGAGATGAGTCTCATAGACTTTCCTACCCGGGTTGGCTTTGAACCATGATCCTCAGATCTCAGCCTCCTGAGTAGCTAGGATTACAGGAATGAGCCACTGACACCCAGCTAGAACTACTTACCTTTATGTCAGTCTCATAGTTTAAAATGACTTAGACATCAAAGACAACAGACAGCACTGGGAGTGCAGCACAATGCACAAGGCTTAGATTCAGAACACACACACACACACACACACACACACACACACACGAGATCAAAAGGCCTTATCTTAGGTATTCATTTTGTACAACCCACATTGTTAAGAATGAAAAGTATCAATGTTAAGATCCCTGTCTTACAGACTGATTACAGCATGTCCTCTATCAGTACTGATACAGTTTATGAAATGTACTGACATAATGATAATTTCTATGATACCGTGTTCCCTAACCTGAGAAAGATATAGTTACTATCACATAACCAATCACACAGGGGAAAGCTGTACTGGAGAAAAATTAAGCCACTCTTTAAGGGAAAAGATCAATCTCCTAGTTGTTAGTCATCCCTAGCCCATATTTACTGTAGCAATGACAATATTATGCATCATATATTTCAATTTAAGGAGTAACTCTGCTTATAAAGAAATTAAATTGTATTTAAATAGATTATATTGTCATAGTTATATCTGATTAATGACAACCACATAGCTGGGCAATTTTCAAAGGAACACATATTGACTACAGACTTGTTTACAGAGGAAAAGAGACAATTTTTTGCTTATGAGTGCAACATACTTCAGCCCATCTTGACTGATAGAAGATGCTAATCAGGCTTAACTAGTATGAGTGGTATGTCAAATTAAATACTGTCTAATAAATGAACATTTAGTAAGCATATATCTGAACCATTCCCAGAGAGAGGGAATAAGGTAACAATACCTCCTAGAGGTTTAATCCAAGCTACAAGGTCTTTAAGTAAAATCATGGCAAACTTTTTATAAGTGGAAGATCCGGAGCAATGATTCCTATTTTAATGATAGTTCTAACCATTGTACTTTTTATAAACAAAAATCTACTTTAAAAAACTGCTATCCCTAGGAGCTTCAGCCCTCTCATTAGTTAAATGAGTGTATCTAAACAAGAGCTCCAAGGTTATCAATTCATCTTATGCTAAGGTACCAAGAATTATAATAGAGAAAGGATAAATGGGAAGCTGGGTACCCACATGCAAACAAGAAGAGAAAAGGGGAGGAAAGGGGCATTACTAAAAAAGGTATCTATGTGAAGGGGTGGATGGATATGCTAATTCACTTTATTATATGTCACATTGTACACATGGAAGGTATTCAATTATTATTTATTATACTTCAGTGGAGCTGGTGAAAAAGAAAGAGCTTCAAAGTCAGAGGTTGTCAGACTCCTTAAGATTAAAGAGAACATATAAGACACAATGAATTACATCATGAAATGAGGGTTTTCATTACCTGCTTACCCAGCCCAGAGGAAAACAGCAAATCAGAAAGGATGAAGACACTGCCAGCTGTGAGCAGTGACAACTAACGAATGGAAGTAACCAGATCATCTACAAGATATGTACCAAACAATTTTTTTAAAGGATAATCTGGATTCATTGTAGGAGCAATTATTAGACCTATATGCCTCAAAAAAAGAAATGTTATAAAAGACATGAGTTACTGTGTGGATTTACTATAGCTATTTACTATATATTATTCCCACCCACAGCCATTCTTTCTTGATACTAGTAGACACATGTCCATCCAAACTAAAGCCTGTGGTACTCTGTTATAGACTATAGCGCATGATGAGGCAGGAGCAGACATTATCTGAACATCTCTCAGGTACAGACACTGCTCTCCCTCTGACTCCATTATAATGGGGTACAGCAGGTGTCTTGGCCTCAGATGAAGTCACATATTGAGGAAAACATAGCATCTTTCCAGACCTGCACCACCTTATCTCCAGGTGATTAAATAGAACTGAAATAACCATCTTCCTTCTTTAAGCCTTCATTAAGTTTGGATATTTGTTACAGCAAACAAAACTTTTACTGTATTATATAATGCAGAACCTAACCTTTAATGTGTGATTGTGCTTGACTGGATGCTGGTACCAAAAATTAAGCAGATATGCAAGACATATTGGGACAAGTAGAGAAATTTGAATATGATTGCATTTTAGGTAACTTGGGGGAATAATTTCTTCACTGTGATAGCAGTACTGTAATAATGTAAGAGAAAATACAGGAAGATGTGTGTTAAAGTATTTATGGGTAAAGTGGTACTAAAGTCTGCAACTTGACCTTCAAATAATCCACCAAAGAGGTTATACTTGTATAACTATTAACTAGGTGTGAAAATATACGTATTCATGTTACTTTTTCTATTAACATTCTGTAGAAAAAATTACATGCTTAAATATATTTTTGTATATGAAACACTTATAGAATGACCTTGACGTATGGAAGAGGATATTACAGTAACCAAATATATTCCTGGTATCTATATTATTAAAGTCTGTGAGTTCACAAAAGTATTTGCCAACAAAAATACCAATAAAAGTTATATTCATTTCAACATGGAGTCTTTAGTCTCCCAAAGACCATGAAGTGGTCCTCAAAATATGGCCCTCAGATCAGCACCATCAGTAGCATCCAATGTGGCCCTCACACCATAATATCCACAAACCTCTCAGAAATGCTAATCTACCTCCACTGTATCAAAAAGTCTGGTGGGAAAGCCAAACAAATCAAAGGTTTAACAAGATACAGAGACTATTCAGACCCACTACTGACTCAGTTGGATAGGATAAAACTCTGGGCTTGAAGAAAACAAACCCCGGAGAAATCTAGCACCCTTTTTGTTTTTCCTTAGCAGCCCAGGCAAAAGTACTGAATACACCATGAAGTCCAGAGGCGGTGACTCTAGTCAGATAATCTTGATCTGACTCCAGTTCCAATTATCAGCCATAAGCTCAGGCTCAGGCTGAAGTCTCCTCATCTTCAAGACAGTGTATTCAGTACCTCACTAGGAGAATTAGAAATTAGTGTATGGAAACTAGGTCTGGCAGTGGCAAATACTTAATTGCATTATTATTTTTATAATTAGATTCACAGAACATACTAGATTAACACTTAACTGCTTACTATTTCTTACATACATTGTAATACATGGCTCCTTTTTAAAAAAAAATAAAAGACCTCTCGCTTTTATGCTCTAAGTAATATTTATTCAGTTCTTCCCAACCATCCATTCTGTCCTCCAATGCTAAGGCAAGCTACAAGACCCCATTCTAAGATTGAGGGGAAGCTCTGGCTTACACAAACTAAATCGTATCCCACTAGCCACAGTGGCAGAGCCAAGCAAGGGTTTAACAAGCTATAGAGACAAATCACAGCAAATGAGAAACCAAATCCCTAAGTTGAGCTCAACTTAAAAAAAAAAAGTTATACTTCCTGCACAGTAAGTTCTGGGATCACAGAGGCCACTTGACTTTTCTAAGGACATAGGTAAATGAGAGCCTCAGAAGGCACCGTTAGCACCTGGGCATCAAGCCACCCCTAAACTTCACAGGCAGTTATTTCTCATCAACATGGAAGCCACTTTGGGCTGGGTCTCTGACTCTGAATCAAACCTATCAACCATTTTTTTCTTCCGAGACAGGTCATGGGTTGAGATTTATGTCTTCCCTTCAGTTACCCTCTCCTGTGACCCCAAAGACTCCAACCTTACTGTCACTGGAGAACAAATCATCCACTGAAACATCCCATTTCCATGTCTCAAATTAACCCTTAACTCAAAAGCAGAAGCCCTACTTTACTCATCTGTGTAAATCCAGCAACTATAAAATAACTATAATATGGGAGATATATTAATAAATGTCTGTCGAGCTTAAGTGTTTCACACACTGAGTGTGAAGTATGTGAAAAATTATTTATCTCAATCTTGGCTACTGATGTTTAGAAACCTGTAGGGATCAACTCAAAACATTATTCAAAATTAATAAATAAGTCATTCAAATCACTGTTTAGAATTTCAGAACATGTCTCAGAATACATATCGAAGGCTCCCCTTACAGATAATGGGAACAGAAAGAATGGTCCAGAAAAGCCATGAAAATTTTGTGGATTTGATAGAACAGAGCCAGAAGCCTTCAAAAAAGTGAGCTCTGCTTCCTGTTTGCTATGTAAAGACATTCTTATCTATCTCCATAAAGAGAAGTTCTTCTACCAGACACAGTAGCTCATGCCCATAGCCTTAGCTACTCAGGACTGAGATCTGAAGATCACAGTTCAAAGTC